TCTTAAAGCCTTTCAAAACTAAGTGACAGGCTTGCCATTTGGAATGACTTGAAAGTAATCATAGCAAATCAGAAGTGCAGCATGGTGCTCAATAAGATGTGATGATGCAATCATGTTCATGAAATTGCAATTGATTAAGTGTTAGTTAAAGTTAATTACAGAAAAAAAGACTCAGACCCTCAGCCATTCAAAAATATATCTCTAGAGGCATTCTTGTATAGTACTGTACACCATGGATACAGGGGCGGATCTAGAAAAATATTCATGGGGTGGCAAGAGGGTGGCAGGAGATTTTGAGGGGTGGCATCCCCTGGCAGAAGTATATGCTGATTTAATCGCAGTCATGTCAATTAATGTTAACTTGGAAAGCCACAATATTTATTTTAACTCAATAACATTTGGTGACATTATTGTGGCACATCAGTAAAGCCTTAAATATAAATACATAAGGTGGCAGACTTAATTTAATTAATTTTAACTGAACAATAACTGAATGAGTTTGTCTCACTCTTAGACCAGCATGGGTACCAAATCTATGCAGACTGCTGCAATAAGTATATTAATTAACTGTCTTGTCGATTTTTGTCTAAATTAGTATGATAATATTAACAATCATATTATTCCTATCAGCTGTCAATCACTGTTATGATTCACATATTCAGTGTCATTATTAAATAAACTATATTTTTTGGAGGAGTTAATGATGAATGTTCCTCAAGATGCTTGCTCACCCTCCTTCAAAATTTGAAAGACAAGTAATTACTATCATATATCAAAAGAATCAAAAGAACAGTTCAGCGCCCACAAAGAAAAAAAAATATTTACACACGTAAGGTCATCATCTTAACAGTTTATTATGCTCATCGAGTCATCCCGTGAGCAGAGCATCAAGTTGGCATGCCTATAACAGCTGAATGTGGCGATTACCATCTTGTTCGCGATTACGATCTGTTCAGCAAAACGCCTCACAAACTTTAAGATTTAAGCTATGGTGCATTTTGACTTCCAATGCTGAGTTAGCAGCCTGAAGAAACATGATCGAGGATTAAAAAACTAATGTCACAACAGAGCTTGAAAAGGCTTGTCCATGCTTTTATCTTTAGTAGAACTGGACTACTGCAATAGTTGTATTCATCAGGGGCTTGACAGCAAAAAATGCCCATCAGAAAGCTGCAGCTGATTCAAGAACTCAAAGCTGGCACGTGTCCTCACTAAATATACGCTAATATACAGTCTATGGTCGCTCACTAACATTTCAAAAGAGTGGATCACATCAGTCGGTTCTGAAATATTCTACATTGGTGCTTGCTCCAGTCGGCCAAAGAATTGCATTTTTACATTACTATTGTAGTTTTTTAAATCAATAAATGGCTTAGGAGCCAAAGTGATATTTGTTGAACTCTGCATAATTACGAGCCATCCAAGGTGTCCTCAGGTCTTCTGGGACGGTCTGGGGGGCTAATCGGTTCCGAGAGTAAAAACAAAACATTTTGAGAGGCAGCATTAGCTTTTAATGCGCCCCGACAATCTGAAACGATTACCTATTTTTATCGAGACTAAACAACCGCTAAACATATCTCTTTGGCTGCTTTTAATTTAGCTGCTCATATTCACCACTTAAAGTAGGCCTACGAAACCCTTGTTGGACCAGCACAAGACGGTCAGACCTTTCTTGTAGTTGGGTCTCCAGGGTTTGTGCACATCTCAGGAAGGATTTTGGTCCACTCCTCTCTGCAGATCCTCTCCAAAATCCTTAAGCGTGTTGAGGCTGATTCTTGGCATCTCAAAACTTTCAGCTCTCCTCCAGCAGATTTTCTAAATGGGATTAAGGTCTGGAGACTGGCTAGGGCCATCCCATCACCTAATGTGCTTCTCTTTAGCGCTCCCTGTGTTGCCTTGGCCGTCATGTTCAGGTGTATCTGTCCTGCTGGAAAGACCCTTCATGACGCCTTTTCGTGCTGTCCTGGCTGAGGGAAGGAGCTATTGGCCCAGATGTTAAGCAGTAGCAATGGCCCCGTCCATCCTCTCCTCGATGCAGGGGTAGTCGACTTTCCCTGCCGTTACGAGGAAAGCCAAATTATACATGTTTACCACGCTCCATTTCTGGTGGTCATCTGACACCATCAGCTACCCTTCTCTCCAGCCAGGATCACTGATATTCATTGCGAAATTCAGAATGGTGCGTTTCACGTCTTCTCGAGCAGGATCGATCTCACTTATCTTCCCATACGGCCAAAGCACAGAACTCGTGCTCATTTATCAGAAATGTGCCAATATTCAAATGGGTCCACCATTCAGCAATTATTTCAAGTGGCGCTAAAAGAAGCGCACCATTTTTGCTGTATTTGACAAGAATGGATGCTGGCACTCGCCAGTTCTCCCGAGACCATTGATGGCCGCTAGTGATCACATCTGTGCGTGTAGGGGAGCTGAAGATTTTGTGCAGGCCGACAGGATCTAGCTCCTCAAACCCCACTCTCGCGCTTGTGTGCGATACTCTCCAGAGGAGAGAGTGTCCAAAATCCGTTACTGAGAGTATACTCATGGTGTGGCACCAAACCTGCAGAGAAACCATAACCATAAGTGACCATAGTGACTGTACACAACGAAGGGTCTTCGTATAGATACACTTTCCTAACTTTAGTGTGAATAACTCAACACTTTCCCCCACACGAATATGGCAGCTCAATATAAAAGCTCTACAGATGTATGTTTTTTAGCATTGAGAGGTTGGTAGATTGTTAAAAACTACTATAGTGAAGCGTAAGTGTCAGAGGCATCAAGCTAAATGCGCCCTCTCAATGTTTCTGTATTTATACTCGGGTGCGACAGAGACTCGCGCCGTCCCAGAGGGACCTCGCGCGCCCTTAGAATGGCCGATCAGTCTAACATTAATGCTAGGGTTGAGAGAAGTATACATCTCTCTTCGTCT